CACCTGAGCATACCTGGGAGTACCTGAGATACCTGGGAACACCTGAGAATGCACCTGAGACACCTGGGAATGCACCTGAGATACCTGAGAATGCACCTGGGAGCACCTGAGACACCTGGAAATGCACCTGGGAGTGCACCTGAGACACCTGGGAGCACCTGAGATACCTGGGAACACCTGGGAATGCACCTGAGATACCTGGGAACACCTGAGCACACCTGAGAGCACACCTGAGTGCACACCTGAGCTCATCACTCACCTGAGTGCACACCTGAGTTCACATCTCAAACGTGAGTTCGGAACTGAGCACACCCCGATCTCACACCTCATTTCACACCCCGATCTCACACCTGAGTTCATCTGAGTGCACACCTGAGTTCACATCTCTCACCTGATCTCACACCTGAGCACACCTGAGTTCCTCAAACCACGCCCGCCTCCCACCAGGAAGGACAAACCAGGTGAGCTCAGATCCCAGGAATTCCAGGTGGGATTCCAGCCTTATTCAGGTATCCCAGATGGATTTTGGGGTGGGAAATGGGAATTTTGGGGTGGGAAATGGAAATGTCCATCCCGGGGCATTTCCAGTGGGAATCCCATCCCCAACCCCGTTATTCCCAGCCCCAATCCCATTATGCCCGGGATCCCTGACCCCATTATCCCGGGATCCCTGACCCCATTATCCCCCCATTATTCCCATCCCCAATCCCATTATTCCCAGGATCCCTGACCCCATTATCCCTGGGATCCCTGACCCCATTATCCCCATTTTTCCCCCATTATCCCCGTTATTCCCCCGTTTCCTCTCTGTTATTCCCCGTTCACACCTGAGTGTGAAGGGCATGGTGTTATCCCCATCCCAATCCCATTATCCCCGGGATCCCTGACCCCATTATCCCCGTTTTCTCCCCGTTATTCCCCGTTCATACCTGAGTGTGAAGGGCATGGTGTTATCCCAATCCCAATCCCATTATCCCCAGGATCCCTGACCCCATTATCCCCATTATTCCCCCGTTATTCCCAGCCCCAATCCCATTATCCCCGGGATCCCTGACCTCATTATCCCCGTTATTCCCCCGTTTTCCCTGTTTGTACCTGAGTGTGAAGGGCATGGTGATATTCCCAGCCCCAATCCCATTATCCCCAGGATCCCTGACCCCATTATCTCCATCCCTGACCCCATTATCTCCATCCCTGACCCCATTATCCCCGTTTTTCCCCCATTTTCTCCCCGTTATCCCCCGTTCATACCTGAGTGTGAAGGGCATGGTGTTAACCCCATCCCCAATTCCATTATCCCCAGGATCCCTGACCCCATTATCCCCGGGATCCCTGACCCCATTATCCCCGTTTTTCCCCCATTCTCCCTGTTATTTCCCCGTTTTCTCCCTGTTATTCCCTGTTCATACCTAAGTGTGAAGGGCATGGTGTTATCCCCATCCCAATCCCATTATCCTCGGGATTCCTGACCCCATTTTCCCCGGGATCCCTGACCCCATTATCCCCATCCCTGACCCCATTATCTCCATTCCTGACCCCATTATCCCCGTTATACCCCCATTATTCCCCTGTTTTCCCCATTATTCCCCATGGGTACCTGAGTGTGAAGGGCATGGTGATATTCCCACCCCCAATCCCATTATCCCCAGGATCCCTGACCCCATTATCCCCGTTTTTCCCCCATTATTCCCCCATTTTTCCCCCATTATCCCCGTTATTCCCCGTTCATACCTGAGTGTGAAAGGATGGGTATTCCCATCCGCAATCCCATTATCCCTGGGATCCCTGACCCCATTATTCCCCCATTATTCCCAGCCCCAATCCCATTATCCCCGGGATCCCTGACCCCATTATCCCCGTTTTTCCCCCATTATCCCTGTTATTCCCCCGTTTTCTCCCCATTATTCCCCGTTCACACCTGATTGTGAAGGGCATGGCATTAACCCCATCCCCATCCCCAATCCCATTATCCCCAGGATCCCTGACCCCATTATCCCCAGGATCCCTGACCCCATTATCCCCAGGATCCCTGACCCCATTATCCCCGGGATCCCTGACCCCATTATCTTCATCCCTGACCCCATTATCCCTGTTATTCCCCTGTTTTCTCCCCGTTATCCCCCATTCATACCTGAGTGTGAAGGGCATGGTGTTATCCCCATCCCAATCCCATTATCCCGGGATCCTTGACCCCATTATCCCCGTTTTTCCCCGTTCCTACCTGAGTGTGAAGGGCATGGTGTCGAAGCGCCGCTCCACCTCGCTGAAAAAGGCACGGGAGGTTTTCATCTTGAGGCCGTACTGCTTCGAAGGGTCCCTCTTGTAAATCGTGGTTCTCTGCCCGGCGTCCTTCGCCTGCAAAAAAACCACAAAAACCACCCCGAAAAAAAATTCAGTAATTCCAGAACATTCCACACCCCAAAATTCCCTGAAAAAAAAATCCCAAAATTTTTATAGGGTCGGGCTCACCTTGCCCTCGCCGCTGCTGACGAGGACGTCGACAGCGTAAACTTCGTGGACCTCGAATTCGGCTTTTTCGTGGTCCTTCCTGCAAAAAAAAAAATTTGGGAATCGGGGTGGGAAAAACTTCTGAGAAAGTTGAAAAGTTCCTGGAAAGCTAAAAATTTCCAGGAAAAGTTCCTGGAAACCTAAAAATTTTCTGGAAAAGTTCCTGGAAACCTAAAAATTTTCAGGAAAAGTTCCTGGAAACCTCAAAATTTTCAGGGAAATGTT